CGTTCGAGAGGAGCGCAACCGTGATCTCCATGGGGACGATCTTGCCATCGCGGATGTACGACTTGATCAGCTCGCCGTACTCGGAGCCCTCGCGGACTTGCTCGGCGCGGAGAAGATCGCCCGCGGAGAGGTGGTGAAAGCCGTAGTCGCGGACGAGGTTGGAGGATTGGGTGCCCTTGCCGGAGCCGGGGCCGCCGAGGAGGAAGACGACGGTTGTTTCGGCGGGGCTGAAGCGTGGTTTCTTTTCCTGGGAGGAGGGAGACATTTTTTCTTTTCTTTTTTCTTTTTCTTTACCTCTTTTGCTTTTCTTTCGTAGTAGTCGTCGTGGTTGGTTGGTTGGTTTGTTGTTGTCTTTTTGGTTGGGTTGGGCGGTTTGAAGAGGTTACTGCTGTCTCTGCAGGTGGGCTTGTTTAGCAGCGGCGCGGGAGCGGGCGAGGAGGACGTAGGAGGCTGTGCCGATGGCGATGATGGAGAGGAAGGGGAGGATTTTGAAGTTGGAGCGGCTGTATTGGCTTGGTGGTTGTTTTGGGGGTTGAGGTTGAGGTTGAGACTGGAATCGAGGAGGGGAGGTGGAATAGGGGCGGCGGGTGTGGTGGATCGACATGGGCTGAGTTACGTACGTACTGTGTGGTATGGGAATGAAAGGTGAGTAGTGAAGCTGTGCTGGAATTGCAGTAGTGCTGTCTGGCCCGTGAGTATGCCAACTGCCAAGTGGTCCGAGTCGGTCGGTCAGGGTCTGGGATTTAGGTATTATTATTGGATTCGGAAGACCTAATATTATTCGGTACGGATGGCCTTAGGTTTCCTTTTCCGTCTTGCGTGGGTTGCTGCAGTGGCAGTGGTTGGTCCGGACTTGGAGTGTGGCTAGTGAGGTACAATATAATATGTATTTGTATTACCGGTGATACAGATCTATATTCTACTCTAGACCAACACACCTGTGTATACCCTCTCCTCTTGACATCAACACCACCGCTATCACCTCACCTCCGTGACAATCCAAATTAGCGGAGAAGATGGACCTCCCAGCGGAAATCAGAAACCAAATCTACAGCTATCTCTTCCCACCGCAGCGTGTCCAAGTTCTCCGCCAGAAAGACAGGAAGAATGTCCCAACGTCACCAACCCGCTACAGACTCTTCCATATCCAGCTCCCACCAAGGGATCCCAAGACCCAAAATCAGAAATGCCTCCCGTATTTGAAAAGTCGGTCAGGCTTGACTCCACGAGACCAACTCGCCAGCGAGGATTCTCGGCAGAGAACCAAACCTGCCAGACTCGCGCCCCCCTCGAAAGAAAGAGAGAAACATATAGAAAAAGGGGAGAGAAGATACCAAGCCCAGCTCTCCCTCCCCTTCACCTGCAAGCAATCCTACAACGACACCGTCTGCCTCCTCTACGCAGCCACGCAGTTCGTCTTCCCTTCCCCAAAAACCCTCTCCCGGTTCCTCGATTCCGTCTCCAGCCAAGCGCAAGCGGCAATCACTCACGTCGAGCTCAAACACAGTATGTACAACGAGCCCCGGCTGACGCAATTCCGAGAGATCAAGCTGCGGAGCGATCGGAACTTCTACGTGCTTTGCGAACGGATCACGAAGGCGTGCGAGGGCTTGAGCGTCTTGCATATCAAGCTGGCGGTATTTGATGCGCCGATTATGTTGGAGGTTGGGGAGCAGTGGTCGTTGCCGATTCTTGCATTTGCAAAGCTGAGGAGGGACAATAAGAGGGGATTGCGGTTTGCGCGGGTAAGGCTGGAATGTAACCAGTTCGCGGATGGGGTTCTGCGTTGTGCAGAGCAGGAGCTGGTGAGGGAACTGATGGATCCGGTTGCGGTGCAGGTGCGCGAGGATGAAAAGATGGCGAGGGATATGAGCGGGGTTGTGAAGGCCATGAAGGTTCTTAGGGTGGTGTTTAGCTAGTGACGATGCGGGAATCGAGAATCCAGTTTCGAATATTATTCCAAGTTTCAGTCGTCTAATTATTATATACGTAAATCATAAATACACACGAAGTTAGAGGGGTGGGAAAGAAGATTATGTAGAAGTCATAGGCTGGCGCTCAGCTTCGTCGGAGAGGACCTCGAAATATGGCCGCGCGCGACGCCGGCGGATATAATAGTAGACGCCTGCCAGGATCCCGCCTAGAGAGCAAGTAGCCAGAATAAAGATGAGGAGTCCGCCCACGCCACGCACCATCTCGAACGCCTTGACGGCCGCCTTGGCCGCTTCCTCGGCTTCAAGGTGGGCCTGTACGTCCATGTCCGCCATGTCCTCCTCTTCTTCCTTGGTGGAGTACGTGATCGAGGGATTGTCGGGCTGCGGCTTGGTATCGCTCTGGAACCCGGCGAGGCGCCAGTTGCTGGGGGTTTGTGTTCGGTGGACGTCTGACTTGCCGAGGACGATGCCGTCCTTGTCCAGGGCCTCAACGGAAACCCAGTCCAGGTATCCGTTGGCAATATACATTGTTTCAAAGTCTGTCTTCTTTGTCTCCCCAACAGGCACGGGGACGCCGTTCTCGGCGGACCGCGCGTAGAACTTCCAAGAGGCAATGTCCGTTGCCCCGTTCCAGCTGACATGGAAGATAGTCGTCAGGTGCGTGTCGTCCGTGCCGTAGACCGACGAAACCACATCCGGGGGGGTCTTCGGCCGCCCGGTGAATTCGAACTTGTACGACCGGTAGGAAGAAAACCGGTCCGAGGCGAACTTGGCCTCCATAAGGAGCTTTCCATCTGGATCATGTTCACTCTGGTAGCCCCGTTCACTCCAGCCGACAAAAGTGTTGCCGTTGGGTAGCGTCTGCACGTTACCGCGCAGCCGGGTGAGGCCACCGTCCGGTCGATTGATGCGCTTGGCCACGGTGGCCGTCATCGGAGAAGCTGTGGTATCGACCTGCACGTACAAAGCCGATGAGACATCCTCCTCGTTCTCCCCCTCGTCGGAGGCGTTGTTCATGAGAGAAATAAGATGATGCGTCCCGTTGGACTCGACAAACCGCGCATGATGTTGCTTAGAGAAGGTAAAGTCTAGATCGAAATCGGAGAGCTTCCCGCCCAGCCGCCAGACGATCTCACCCTCCTTGGAAATGTAGTAGATAGTGTTCGCGAACCGGGCCGACAGCAGATAGTCGCCTACTGAATTCTTATCCGCGGAGTTGACGTGGATATAATCCCAGCCAGGCCGGTCAGACGCCGGCGAATAAGGGTCGACCTTGACAGATTCGTTGACCAGAACGTTATTGAACGAACTCCATTCAAACAAAACCTCGCCGGTCTTGGTGTCTAGCTCGAGTAGTCCGCCAGCAACGATCCAGCCGGTCTCCTCAGGTCGGCCGAGGGCAGCCAAATCGGTATTTTCAGACCTGTACAAGCAGGCCAGAGCGGACTTTCCACCATCCAGCACGTTAAACTCGTGCATGTTGAACGCGCCAAGGTCGTTGACAACAGGGGTCTTGTACTGCTCTTCGTAGTGTTGGTCCAAGACATACCCGTAGCCTTTGTCGGTGCCATCGTCATTGTATTGATGCTGCAGGATAAAGGAGAGATGCGGCTCATCATCGATGTTGTTGGCCGCCTTGAAATCGAAAACGTTCCGATTGTCAAACATGCACGACCCGGCCCAGACGAGAATCTACAATGTTAGCTGCCGTTCACAAGCCGAGTTTGCTACGCACGTACCCCATCCGCATCGTAGATGTACGGTCCTACTTGGCATGGCTTCCACTGCTTGGTGGGGACCTCGGGGTCGATAATCCCATAAGGCGCAACAAACCAATACCCCGGGGCTACAGCCTCTCGGTCATGGTAGGAAATGTCGAATTTCAAGGCTCGCACTTTCGGGAGCTGACTAGTTAGCATCCAAAGCGCCACTAGTGCTGCAGTACATACCGTGACAAAGGACATCAAATCATCGTCGTTCTCAGTTTCCGCGAAGACGCGGCCAAAGGCGAGAGAAAGCAGAATCGAGGAGAGCAACATGCTAATGAGTGACTAGGAAGAGACCCTCCTGAAATTAAAATGTATATCTATAAACGCAAATATAAACCCCGCTACCTGCTCATCAAGGCGGGTTTTGTGCAAGAACGTCCTCGGGACGGGCGAGATGTTGAGAAGAAACAAAGATCAGGCGCAGTCGAAGTTCAAAAAGCAGAGGAAAGGAGAAACGGTCAGATAACTCCGCATGGTCAACGAGGTAATTTCGGCAGGAGAAAAAAAGGTGCCCATTGGCGACGCAAGCGTTGATATGGGAGGCTTGGGAGCTGACGATCGAACAGAGCCGGTGAGCTTGGCAGGATCCTGAGTGGACCGGCTTGAGCCTGATCAGTCCTAGTTTGACATCTTCAGCAAGAGGATGTGGTTCCGGCTGGGGGAGATTAATTATTCGAGCAGAGCAGGATTCGGCCTCGCTCCGTCTTCAGATGATGGTGCCATGGCCTCGATTGCAGGTCAAATCGTCTAGCTGGACCAAGTCCCATCACGAGAACTCGCCTGTTTCATTTTGGCGTCAAGTTGGGGAACTACAGGTATAAGTAATGAACACTGTTTCACAGCTGGAACAAACTTTTTAACCAGGTGGTTCTGATCTTCTGGCCTAGAAATCATGGAAAATTGGCATGGGCAGTGATGGGCCAGGAACACGAAGGAGGCCTCGTGGAGTGTCCACAGTAGTCAGAGATGAATACGAAGCGAACTGTGCCGCGTTTGCTTTGGGGGCAGCCCCGCAAAAGAAGGTACGGTCAAGACTCACGACAAGCGTCAAGTCAAGTCTCAAGTCTCTCGACTCTCGAGCGCCGCTGCCCGCAGATCCGAGACGGCAGCTTGTAGCCGTCGTCCTCGACCACTAACGACTGGTAGTAGTAACATTATAATAAAAATTGACGCACGACAGGCAGCCACTCCCATGAAAAGCAATCCACCTATTGCAGCGAGGATCTCGAGTCTTGGAGAACCAAGGTTTGTCGTCCCGCTCGGTTCCACAGGGAAGCTGTGAAAGAAAAAAAACTAACGTCCCCGGACAGGATCGAACTGTCAACCTCCTGATTGACCTGTACCAAGTAACAGTCAGACGCGCTAACCGATTGCGCCACGGAGACATTCTTCTATGCGAAGACCTAACAGAATATCGATTATCAGCCAAACTATATCTTTTGCCTCGAGATTCCTTTCGCCAAACATCTCCCGTCAAAGTTGCGGCTAGTAGGCTACTTGTGTTGCGAATAATCAGAGCTTGTAGCCGTCGTAGGTTCTCGACCACTTACCTCAACTGGGTATCTCGCGGCCCTCATGGAGAGATACCCTTGTACACCGACGGTTAGCCTCAGTGGAAGGTTGCAGAAAAGTAACCTTGAATAACCCCATCCTCACTACTACCTGGTTGTCGCATTTTCCAGCATGCGAAATTGCCATGAATCCCGCAAGGTGGTCACCCTGGTGCGCAGCTGGGGAGACTCTGGCTATTACGCATCCTTAGGTAACTGCTAAGTACAAGTGGTAGTCTACCTAGTAAGGTAGTATCTAGTCAGGCACCATGAGCCTGGATCGAGCTTGCTTCATATATATCTGAGTTCTTATTCTTGGCTCGTGGTAGAGTAAGTACCTTGCTACTCACGACTCACCGGCATGCCACCCTCATGAGCTCCGCAGGACTGCTTGGACAGGGAGGTCTCGAGGTAGTAGGTTCTTGGAAGTGGAGAGAATTACACACTCCCCCAAGCCCGAGGACATGTGCCTTTACCATAGAACTGACACATGGCAACCAAGTCTCTACGGTGCAATCAGAGGTATTTAGAGTTTGTCCCTTATCATCAGATGTCAAGATTCTGCCTCCTCTGTTAGGCATCCATTGGTTGCTGCTGTCTTTAGGTATGTCCCGTCTGACTTTCCACATTCCTGAAAGACCCACGATCTAAGTATATACTGCGGCCTAGCGCCTGGAGAGTTTGCAAAGGGCTAAAGGCTTACCTGAAGGTTGCCTTCTTCTGTCAATCACAGAAAGGAGGCATTCGAGGAAGATGCTAACATCTATCTCATTGCTTTGCTATGTCAGATCGTCTGTTATTCCAAATCGGACACTAATTATTTAATAACAGGCGAAAATGACCTCAGACTGCATCAGTCGGATTATTATTATCCAGGACGGTCTACAGCCCAAAGCCCTGTGCAAACCTGCGCAAGACTGGCCGGATACCACAAAAAAAGTTGAATACCCCCAGGATTATATCCTACCTTATGTCATCAGTTTTCCAAGTGCTCCAATTGCAAAGGCAGGCTACTACCCATTATATATAGATACAAGCTTACACTACTGGAGATGGGATATACTACATGTGACTGCAAGGAAGAGCTTGTGGTTATTGAATGTATGAGGATACCAATGTATTGACGATACTGATAAATCCATCTCATGGATTTCAAGGCTGGCCCTAAGTAACATGCTGACAGGTTTGCATGCAGGAGCTACACCTGAGGTAGGTTACTTTACCTGGCTCTAGTACTTCTGCTAACCAGCCAGATCCTTTGAACATAAAGCATCTGAGGATACTGTTGTAAATCCAGCTATCAAGCTCAAGACTGCCCCAAGCCACGTGTCGACAAGTTTGCATGCACGGCCGGTGAGTTACTGCCTGTCAGCAGCAGAGCGCATCACAGAATCCCCAGGAGACTGTGGCAGCATTCCCTTGCGCAGGTACGCGCCACCAGGCTGACTATTATAAACACTCTGCGCATGATTGTCGGACCTGCCAACCTCTCGGACATTATAGATAGTCGCGGAAGTGCTGTCGTCCCTCTGCTGCACAATTTGGTTAAAGCAAGAGCACAATGTGGTTGTGGGTGGTATGCGGCATCTCCTCCATCTGCTCTCAAGATGTTGGTAAAATCGGATTCTGGTTTCTGTCGGGATATTGCAGGCGTGTAGGAGGCAACGACATACAGCAACAAACAGAGGTGGATCAGTAATTTACTCTGCCGCAAAGACATGACTGATTGCGACAACGTTGTCAACCATGCTCCTGTCCAACGCTAGTATGTGCATGACCATCAGGTTTTCAGGCCACCTTAGGGCTAAGAGTAAAGGGGCAATGTTGGTCTCGGGAAGAGCGGGTATGTATTTGACTGCATCTGCAGAGTGTAATCTGAATATGCAGCCGTTTGCCAGATAGGTACCGGATACATTGGCCCAGAGGACATCTGCTTCAGGCACGGCGGCGTAACTTGTAAGCTGGACAAAGTTGAAAATAGTTTTAAGCCATTCATCTAGGCTCTGCAGTCCTAGGCACTACTTGCACCGACTCTTCTCAAATCAGCTAACATCTCTGTCACTTGCATTATTCCTTTGTCAAGAAAATATTGTTAATAGAAAGAAACTGATCCCCGAGCGAGTCAGACCAAACAAGCAGACAAGCAGACAGCAGCTCACTCCTCTGGCTCTGTCTTCTCCAAGGTCCCGGGGTTATGTGCTACTCGATGACCATGCTGATCACTGTAGATGACCTACTTGGATTAGACAATTTCTGTATAGGTATGTACGGGGTCATTTCATACCTTGGGAGGATTTTTCACGTCTTCTTTCTCAGCTTCATCCTTGTCGGTCACAATTTTTTCAATCTTCAAGATCATGTTAGCAGAATAGGACTCTTGATATCATGGTAGAGTTGAAGAGAATAAGCCGGCAACAGTAAATAATAGGCACTTAGATATCTATAGATCGGCAACAGGGTGGGACGAACCTTTCCCTGATGAGAACCTCCGCGGGCCTTGGTAAAGACATAGTCTCCCTCATGGAGCTCCTGTCCATGCTTGTCTTGGATTTTGGAAGATGGCATTCTGTTTGTTTTCTTGGATCAAGGCGGTTTTACCATGCTATATGTATCTGAAGATGAAAAGCAAGCCCAGTACCTAGATACCTACTCACCTAGGTAGAAGAACCTCCAAGAGTGTGATGTCATTAGGCCGTCACTGTCTACCTAGCCTAGAGGTACCTACCTTAGGTATATAAACATTACCTCCTAAAACCACCTGCCCAGGCTGTGTGCACGGTTCCTCATACCAACAACATGGCAATGGCAATGGCAGTGGCAGTGGCGGTATTTCACAAGAATAAGAACCTGCAGACAGAGGCCTAACAATTTTGAAAGTCATCCTTTATTAGCCCTCTCTGAAGATTGCAGGTGACTTTATCATGGCCCGCCAAGAGATGCGATAACCCACATTGAACCACAGACACATTACCTTATTGTCCAACTTTTAAATAATAATACAAGTAGTGGTGCCATGTGGGCTGAGGTCCCTACACCTAATAGCCATAAGGACAGCCATCAGGATAGTAGTAAACCAAGACAGTAAACTGTGGCCAGTACCGTACAGTAGTGCAGTGCAGTCTCTACAGAGTTCCCGCATATGGCGGCGCCACACTGTAATATTGTTCGCGCTGCATCGAATTCTCCAGCAGACCTCTCTCATCGCAGACGCAAGAGTGGGAATCATACATTGTGCAAGGCATGTGCGACTTGGCGCAACCAAACCTGGATGCTACAGTAGTCAGTCTGGACTGTGCTGGGGACTGTCGCTCGGGCATAAGTCCAGGTATCAACTTAAGGCGGATTCGGCTTGGCAGTTCGACGAACTGGGGAATGAAGGGGCAAAACGTTAACAATAACATGCTTTTGACAGGTGACGGGTAGGCTGATAGCTTGATAGATACGATTATTATTTTGTGTATTATCATTATTATTATGCTGGATAGCATTGTTATTAGCCACTGAGAGATAAGGATAGTGTCAAGCCGGGGAACGAGGAAGACTCCGGCGGTAATACTGTTAAATAGACGAGGGTAAAATAAAGTCAGGTCTGGGCGGCGGCCACCCGGTGTAACAGTTCCTGCAAATCGTGATTTAGACCGACTACCACCGTTGCACCCACCAAACTGTCACATAGGAGCTACAATACCAACTTTACCGTGATCATATACTACTACTAGAACTATCATAGTACTCCGTAGATTAGAGCCGCCACCTCAAGAGTTGATCTAAAGGACTAATTTAGTTTACATTGATCGAGGATGAGAAACCATGTCGCTCTATCCTAACAGACTACTACTACCCCAAGAAAGCCAAGTTTTTCCTAATCAACCAGTTAATCCGATTCCATGAGGCTGACCGAGATCTGCGGAATTCTGTTTACCTGACGGTCTCCAAACCGTATTTCTGGCCGTGTACCACAATGGCAGTTGTGGATGAAGGTAGGTACTCCCGTCTGACGACCATGTAAATTGTAATTATCGGATGCAACTCTGATGGTTCCACCCGATTTTGATGGGTTCGACGAATTAAAACTGCCAACCAAGAAAAAGAATTTACTTACACTGCATTATTATTATTATTAGGTAGTCTGTTAGGCTCATCATAATATTAGACTATACCATGAGAGAAAAAAGCTCCCAAGGTCCTCCAGCTCTGTGCCCGTGCATGCTGTGCCTGTTCCTTCCTCTTCAAGGAAAAGCACATGACAATCCATGGAAGTAATTACCTACCTTACTGGAAGTGGAGGTAGTCTTGAGTCACCACTGTTATGGTGGTACTGGTAGCAACGACATCTGTCCCGTCAAGCTCGAGCTGTCTCCACAACCTAATATGGGCATTAGTCAACATCACCATCCATGATGTCCATCAGGTGGTAATTACAGTACATGACCGAGGTTCTCCTGCTAGCCACTCTTTTCCTTCACTAGGTAATCGGTACCACCTCACCTCACCTCCTCCCGTCTAGGCTGCCCGATCACTACTCTGATCAGGACGGCTGGAGAATGGAGGGATGAATTCCTTCCTGCCTTCACTCTTATCCTCTTCGTCTTCTGAGTGTGAATCACAACTTGGTGTTTCTCTAACCTGCAAAGTGTAGGTAGTCATTGAGAATGGACGCGTGTTAATCCATGCCTTTGGCACTTTGTTCTGTTCATGGTCCCATCCTATCAACCTTAAAACTTGCACAAACACTCCGGGAGGACAACAATAATAAATTCGATACGACTACTACTACTACTCCTACTCCTACTACTAATACTAATACTACAACTCCCTGCTACCTACCACGCCGA